TGCACGGAATATTTAGCGCTCCCTGATGTTCATCTCGCCTTATTCTGGGTCCGAATAAAACATCAGATCATGCACAGACTCTATATTAAATCTATATTTATTCACACCGGCTCTTGAAAACTTCTATGCCAACACACTTGCCCGAAAAAGTGCAGGGGACGAATTTACGTGATATTAAAAGTGGGGGGGACACGTCCCCCACGTAATCTACGCCCCTTAGGTTTAGGATTAGGGTTACTTGCATGTAATTATGCATAATTAATTGTTATTATAATAGTAAGTGCATGTAACGTGTGTAACAAGCACACCTTAAAATAAAGTGTTACCATTTTATTTTTACTGTTTACTTTTTATAGAAAATGTGAAGCTGGAACATGAATTTACACATGCCATTAGCATTACTGTAGCCTGCTGTATTGCTGTTTGCTATTTTAGGTGTGGAAATGACATATTTTGAGTTTTGATATTTGGAATATGGTCATTGTGCTACTTTGGGCACTACTTTAACCAACAGCCAATCCAATTTAAAAACAAAAGCTAAATGCTGATGCTAAATGTCAGTACCATCTATGTTTGTATTGAATGTGCTTACTGCACAGTTACCGTCGCTAATTTCAGATGGTTACAGTTATTGTTTTCAATAGCCAAAAAAAATAAACATCTTATATATACTTCCATTCTTTCTTGTTTGTTGCTTGAAGAAGAAAAAAAATCGGAATTGGCCAGTTTACTAGCAAAAAATCGGTATCAGAATCGGCCATGAAAAATCATGATTATGCATCACTAGTTAATCTATTATGCTGAGTGGATTTAGCTCCAACACACCTGCCTGGAAGTTTCTAATGATGCTGGAATTTGAGTTTCAGTATTATATTACAGCATCATCAACAATGCATTTCCACTCATGCTGCCACAGATTGCCGTAGACAAAAAAAGATCACAGGCCCAGTGAACTCAGAAATCCTCTCTGTTACACCATAAACAGGTTCATCTTGTTCTGTCTCTTTGTCTTTCAGCCTGAAACAATCTTGTTACTCACCATCTGAATAGAGACATACTGTATCCTCCTTAGACAAGACGAGTCTTTGCAACACGTACGACCATTAATTCTGGGTCAAAGTAATGAAATAACATTTGTCATTTTGCTATTTCAATCATTTTTAGAATAACATGTTAGACTTAATATACTAATGTATACGATGTATAATTTAGGAGGTTTTGGAATTTAAAGAAGTGGTCGCCATGGATACCATGCATCGGCTGTAAATGTATAGTGGCAGATGTAATAATATCTTTTCTGCCCTGCCTGTCCATTTAAATGGTTCACAATACCTTTGTGAACTTTGTGTTCATTTGAGTTAAAGTGCAACACACCCTAAAGAGAAAAAGAACCTCATTGGCTTTTGCATGTATCGTCCTCATGCACAATTTTCCTGCATAATTCTGACACAAGAGAAAACATGCAAATCAGTGTCGCAAGCAATACATCACAGTTCATTTGGTCACACTATTTTTAAATGAAAGATGCACCAAACTTTTTTGTTCATTTTACCAGCAGACTATTACTAAATATTACAGGAGAAAGAGAGAAAATAAACAAACAAAAAAAGTACTTCAGACACAGCAGTCTAGCCATGGAAAGATCCATAAACGAAGTCAAAATAGAAATGCATGTTGTTCTGTTTATTATAAGCACATGCACTTTTGTATGGAGGACTAAACCTGCAAAAAGTAAAAATAAATAAACACGCAAATAAATAAATAAATAAATGTGTGTATAAATAAATAATTAACGTGTGTATACATACACACACATATTCTTGTTTAAATACATATATAAATAATAACCTGCAAAAAATAAAAATAAATAAACACGCAAATAAATAAATAAATAAATGTGTGTATAAATAAATAATTAACGTGTGTATACATACACACACATATTCTTGTTTAAATACATATATAAATAATTAAACGTGTGATAAAATATAGGTTAATAAATAAAATAAATTGGTGGCCAAATGGAAAATGTTTAAGGAAATGCTAAACTCATCCTAACTGTTTTCTTTTAATCACTCATTTATTTCTGAATGTAGTTCCGCATTTATTTTTTCCTCTGCACAGCATGCTAATGAGAACCCTGGTCTTGGTCGGGTCTTGTGATAGGGACTGGTGAATTTGATCTGAAGTCCCGTCACGTAACCAATGGCAAAGCCAAAGACTCCACCCAAAATCATCATGCCCCAAAAATGTAAGTGTGTCAGTCGGTTAAACTCCAACAAGTTTTTCAGTTCGCCTGAAACGACAATAAGTGGAATAAAAAGTACACTGGCATTGAGGTTGTTGTAGTAGGAGAGCTTCCAGATATTTCCATCCACCACCGGCAACACTTTTTTTGTGTAGATGGCATTGAGAGATACACAAAGGCTGGCAATTACGCCGAAAACGACGCCCGTCCAAGAAAGTGAACCTGCCACAGATTCCTGGTCCACACCCAGCCAGAATCCACCTGGAGGCAAAGCACAAAGCACATATCTCTTTTGTGTTGATGAACGGGATCTTCATAGTCGCTGTGACAGGATGAAAAAAAATGTAGTTCCTGGTTGACAAAACAACTATTTACTTTCAGACCAATGAAGGATAACCAAAGTCATCTGTAAAACAAATGCCACTTTTGTTTCATATACCTAGAATCAGCACTGTCCAAGCACTTTTTGCAGTAGCTGAATTCTCATTAACTAGGTATGAAAGCTGGTTTCCGCCTTTTATGGTTCGTTCACGTCAAGAACGATAACTATAAAGATAACAGTAGCTTTTTTTTTTTTACAGTCCTGTTCCGTATGCACATATACTACTAACCCTGAACCAAACCCTAAAACGGTAGCACTTTATTGTCACAGTCCTGGTCCACGTGTGCATACTATGTACTTATTATAGTAATTACAAGATCTATGTACTAACTCTGAACCTACCCCTAAAGCTAACCTTAACTTGGTAGTTACCTTATATTACCCAGTACTTTCTTAGGTAAGTACACTGTAAGTGCACATACTTTAAAATAAAGAGCAACCCCTAAAACTAAGCTTAACCCATGTAGTTACAGAACTTAATTAGGTAGTAAGTGCACATACTTTAATATAAGTGCAACCAAGATAACTATAACTACATTAGCATTCACATCAATGGACGGTAATGTTGTGTTTATTTTAAGCCTGTGCTGCAGATATATCATTACACGCTCAAACTCTTTAAAGGTGTATGGATTGTGATTGGCTGTCAAAAGTTTTAATTGTTCATCAGCTGGAAAAAAAATATCATCTGCGATTTTAAATTGCAATTAGGAAAAATAAAGGCTTGTTCACATCAGGAACGCTATTTTATTCTATATTTTAATGATTGTTTATTCTAAATGTGCACTGGATATATAGTTGCATGCTCAAGTTCTTTAACGTCGGGTGGATTCTGATTGGCTGTCAATGTTTTAATGATTCATTAGTTCAAGTGTTTTGAATGTGATTTCAATCATATCGTCTGTGTCATTATTGTTATAACTGTGGTGTGGACTTACTACTCAGAGAATTAGAATGATTATTAAAACATTATAGCTATCATTCTTTAAAGATTAATTAATGTCGCAGTTCACACCAACACATTATAATTGCATGCTGCCATTTTTATCATTCATAAGCTGAAAAAAAAAGCCAGAAAAAAAATCCCTGAAAGTGGTTCCAACGATATCGTTCGGACTTCCCTATGAATTATCCCAGATAGCACACGTACGTCTGCAAGATGTCTGTTAAAGATCTCTTCATCTGGAAAGCATCTGCTGTGTACAAACATCTGATAGACGTCTATACAATATCAGATTTACATCCTAAACATCTTAAAGACATCTTCTAAATGTCTATTTGCCATCTGATAGGAAACGTTCTATAGATGTATTGCAGATGAGGAAACACTCTAAAAAATACATCTTGCAGATGTAAATGATAGACGTCTCCATGCTGCACGCCGTGTGCCATCAGGGAGAGCTACAGAGTTACATATAAGAATGTGGGTAACCGAACACTTGACGGCAGCCATTGACTTCCATAGTATTTTGTTCCACACTATGGAAGTCAATAGGGCCTTTCGCAGCGCGGGAACCTTTTCATAGTACCAGAACTAATTGTGGAACTACCCACTTTTAAAATCGTCCCAGTACTTTAGTACTGTACATTCAGTTCTGGAACTAAAGCGTTGCGAAAGGCACTAATGGCTACCGTCAACTGTTTGGTTACCAACATTCTTCGAAATAGCTTCTTTTGTGTTCAGCAGAAGATAAAAACTCATAGAGGTTTGGAACGACATGAGAACGAGTAAACGACAGAATTTTTATTTTGGCGTGCACTGTCCCTTTAAGCGGCTGGTTCTCACCTAGAATGACTCCGCAGCACAGCACCGCGTAGAAGGACGTGGTCTGCTTCAGAACCGCGTAGGACAGCAGCACGTTAAACACGGTGGAAAGCGAGCGGCCCACGGTGTAGAAGGCAACTCCCACATATTTCAGGCACAAGTTGTTGAAGGTGATCATGCCGATGAACACGACGGTCAGCGGCAAAACCTCTCTGGACACTCTGAAATCAAATTTCAAAGACGGGAAATCCACGAACCCTGGGCATAACTTCGAGAGAAAGTGCAAGATCCAGCACAGCCCGACGCTAACAACACACTGGAAGAATGTGATGAAGACAGGCGCGTCCAGCTCCTTGCTGTCTAGCAGGTAGTTGTTCAGGAAAACCATGGAAATCGAGATGAACCAATAAAGAGCGACAACCGCAGCGATTTTGCTCGCTTTCAGGATAAAGGGCTCCTCTGCGTCCGACCGAGTGGCGTCTGAGAAAGCCATTCTTAATATTCTGGACCTGTGCATGGTTCAGGAATAAAGCAAGAGGAACAATGCAAATGCACATTAGTTATTTTATAACAACGGCAACAATAACATTTCGGTGATGCTCTGCGCTGGCCATGAGTAACGCGAGTGGACTTCTTAAAGCGATACACTCACTCATGTGTAACATCATAAAACTGCACAAAATCGCATTTTACGATGAGATATGAGCTGCAACGATGTTTATAGATGCAGGAATAAATACTTGAGTGAATAAAAAAAAAACTAATATCATTAGAGCGTTTTCATATTAAGTTTCCTACTAAACGGTAATAAAATCACCTCGAATTTTAAGGTTGTAGTGTTTAGAAAACGACAAAATATGTGCAGATTTCATGCTTGAGTCTCACCTTCCTGGGCATCTGACATTTGCTTGCAACTCGCATTAAAGCAGGAAGTGTTTTTAATTTTTGACTCCTCCTTTCTCTTGAGAAAATCTGCATTCTCAGAAAAAAAGGTACAATAGTTGTCACTCGGGCGGTATCTTTTCAAAAGGTACACTTTTGTACCTTTTAGGTACTCATATGTACACTTTAGGTACTCACATGTACCTTTAAGGTACCATTATGCACTCTTTTGGTACAAAGGCGTGCCTTTTTAAAAAAAAAAGGTACCGCCCCTGTGACAACTTTTGTACCTTTTTTTCTGAGAGTGTACCGTAGTACCATAGGTATTGCGTTTTTATTACAATAGACAAAGTAACACTTTATTTTAAGGTGTCCTTGTTACACATGTTACATGTACTTACTGTTATAATAACAATTAATTATGCATAATTACATGCATAGTAAGTACATGTAGTTAATTAATATTACGCAGTACTTAAATGCATAATTACACTGTAACAGGGATGCATTAAAATAAAGTGTAACCCAAATTATTATTGATTGCGATATCTGTCAGTGCAGACTTAAGTCACATTAAAAAGGAGATAAAGAAGCACAAGGGGTTTGAACTCGTCTAACACAGAAAGATCATTTCAGTTTTATGTTTACAATTTTTTTTTAATAATTTTAAAAGCGTTCGGCCGGGGTGGTATTTCTAAATCTGGATTTATGTATAAAAAAAGTAACTTATTTTAATACTATTTACACAAATGCTTCTTAAATTAGACAATCTCCTAAGAAACAAGGGGGTAGCACAAATATTTTCAGCTGTTAGGCTACCAGTTGTGTACGTCCTTCCAAAGTGTCTGTATAAAATTGTCACAAATGCTCTACTTTTTCCTTTTGGAGCTACGGGAAATAAAATGCATTTACTCCTAATTTCGCATGGTGCTTTTAAATGGTGAAATATGCAAGTTCTCCGGATAATATCCTCAGCTAATATGCCAATAGTGTACTTTTAATAACTTTATTGTGATATGGAAGATAAAACCAACGACATCAAGTGTGACTATGTTGATGTAACTCTTCAATGGCTCTCATGTGTCCTAAACACATTTAGCTACTTTTGTAATCAAAACAAAATATTAAATCTAGCATTCATTTAGTGTTTGAAGTAAATAGACCATCAAAATAAATTAATCTCTGGCTCTGGAAAGGTACAGATGTAACATTTTAAAAAATTATTTTATTTAATTTTATGTTTGCAGGGATCTCTTGTGTATTTTCATGCCGAGAGGACTTTTATTCTGAAGCTCGGAAAGGGGCGGGGCCTGAGAGGGTGGGTCTTTACTTCCGGTAGTGAGCTTCGCTGCTGCATATCGATAGATTCAGTGCATTCTGGCGTAAATATAACTACATTTTGCTTATTTGGAGAATAAGTCAGGTCTTGTCCGATATCTAATAACATCGGAATGGCAACAACAATTAGCACACAGCGGGGACAGGTAAGAGGTGGTTTTTAAGTAACGTTACAGTCTAATACACGCATCATGCTAGCTTGCGTAAGTAACGTTAGCATAAGAATGATCTTTCCCAATAAAAACAAACATCGGAAGTCGCGCAGTACAGAATTACCAACGCACCAGTATGCATATATAGCTGTTACACGATGTTACAGCTCGAGTGGCGTCTAAACATCACAATGTTTGATGCATGCTAACGAAAAAGACAAAAATATGCCTAGCAACTCAACAGTGCGTTTATTTCATCATTTACTTGAACGTTGTTCTTTGTCGTAAATGTGTTATGTAACGACTAAATGCGTTACAGTTTGTGTATTACCGTGATGGACGCTAGTTTTGAGATGTTATGTTTAGCTGCTCGTGATTTAGCACGCAGTTCTGTAACCGGATGTTGACGCAGGTCGCTTCCTGTCAACAACAATAATAATATGGACCCTTTTCACATTTCCGGGTTTCTCAGCTGTAGGGATGGGCGATACCTCTTATTTTGTTTTCGATCCGATACCGATATTTTCAAGCCCAGTATCGCCGATACCGATACCTCTAAACTAAACTGATCTTTTAAATTATTAAAAGAATATAATCAGTAATTATACTCGCTTAATATTAGGGTTTAAAGCCATGTTTTTAACATTTCATAGGCCTTTTTTTGTTTACACTGTCAGAAATAAAATATGCTATAATTGTATTTTAGCCCTTTGCTGGGACGGTAACCTCAAAGGTGCAACTGTACCCCTAAAAGTGAGCATATTAGTAACAAGTATGCATGCTTTAAGGGTAGAAAAGTTACATAGGTGCACCTTTGAGGATAGCCTACCTCATGAAAAATAAACATGGTGCACTAAAATGTATTATTATCACCATGATGCATTTGTGGTTACTGCAGTTTTAGTACAAATACTGTGGTGAACTGTGGTTACTGTAATAAAACCATGTGCATGGTTCAGGAATAAAGCAAGAGGAACAATGCAAATGCACATTAGTTATTTTATAACAACGGCAACAATAACATTTCGGTGATGCTCTGCGCTGGCCATGAGTAACGCGAGTGGACTTCTTAAAGCGATACACTCACTCATGTGTAACATCATAAAACTGCACAAAATCGCATTTTACGATGAGATATGAGCTGCAACGATGTTTATAGATGCAGGAATAAATACTTGAGTGAATAAAAAAAACTAATATCATTAGAGCGTTTTCATATTAAGTTTCCTACTAAACGGTAATAAAATCACCTCGAATTTTAAGGTTGTAGCGTTTAGAAAACGACAAAATATGTGCAGATTTCATGCTTGAGTCTCACCTTCCTGGGCATCTGACATTTGCTTGCAACTCGCATTAAAGCAGGAAGTGTTTTTAATTTTTGACTCCTCCTTTCTCTTGAGAAAATCTGCATTCTCAGAAAAAAAGGTACAATAGTTGTCACTCGGGCGGTATCTTTTCAAAAGGTACACTTTTGTACCTTTTAGGTACTCATATGTACACTTTAGGTACTCACATGTACCTTTAAGGTACCATTATGCACTCTTTTGGTACAAAGGCGTGCCTTTTTAAAAAAAAAAGGTACCGCCCCTGTGACAACTTTTGTACCTTTTTTTCTGAGAGTGTACCGTAGTACCATAGGTATTGCGTTTTTATTACAATAGACAAAGTAACACTTTATTTTAAGGTGTCCTTGTTACACATGTTACATGTACTTACTGTTATAATAACAATTAATTATGCATAATTACATGCATAGTAAGTACATGTAGTTAATTAATATTACGCAGTACTTAAATGCATAATTACACTGTAACAGGGATGCATTAAAATAAAGTGTAACCCAAATTATTATTGATTGCGATATCTGTCAGTGCAGACTTAAGTCACATTAAAAAGGAGATAAAGAAGCACAAGGGGTTTGAACTCGTCTAACACAGAAAGATCATTTCAGTTTTATGTTTACAATTTTTTTTTAATAATTTTAAAAGCGTTCGGCCGGGGTGGTATTTCTAAATCTGGATTTATGTATGTATCGCCGATACCGATACCTCTAAACTAAACTGATCTTTTAAATTATTAAAAGAATATAATCAGTAATTATACTCGCTTAATATTAGGGTTTAAAGCCATGTTTTTAACATTTCATAGGCCTTTTTTTGTTTACACTGTCAGAAATAAAATATGCTATAATTGTATTTTAGCCCTTTGCTGGGACGGTAACCTCAAAGGTGCAACTGTACCCCTAAAAGTGAGCATATTAGTAACAAGTATGCATGCTTTAAGGGTAGAAAAGTTACATAGGTGCACCTTTGAGGATAGCCTACCTCATGAAAAATAAACATGGTGCACTAAAATGTATTATTATCACCATGATGCATTTGTGGTTACTGCAGTTTTAGTACAAATACTGTGGTGAACTGTGGTTACTGTAATAAAACCATGGTTATTTTTTTGTAAAAGGCTGCGAGGCTGTTGCACCCCTAAAGGTGAAACTTTAGCATGTTTTTAGAAGAGAGAACCATGTCAAATTAGAAACTCAAAAGAAGATATTTTGAAGATTGCTGGTAATCAAACAGTTGGTGGTTGTCATTGACTTCCATAGTTAGGAAAAAAATACTATGGAAGTCAATGGCAACCACCAACTGTTTGATTACCAGCAATCTTCAACATATCTTCTTTTGTGTTCAGCATGAGAAAGCAACTCGTACAGGTTTGGAACGACACGAGGGTGAGTAAATGCTGACAGCATTTTCATTTTTGAGTGAACTATCCCTTTAATAATGCTTTTGGTTCAATTGAAAACCAGTATGTTCTCCATTATTAGCATTATTTATTTGCAGATTCATTTTTAAACATTATAGAATCTCTTTATGAAAATTCTAATATTTCAATTTCTTACCAGGAGGCACATCACCCTGATTTTCCATGCAGCGCGAGGTTAAACAGGGTTGCTCCAGGGATGTTCTCTTTATAATGGCTAAAGAAATGCTTTCTGTCTTTATTAAAAATTCACCCATAGCTCTGTTGTTAGAGGTACTTTAGCAGTCAGTAATCACTTGAGTTGATCAAAGAAACAATGACTAGTAATTACATGTAAAAAGCGTTTTTTTGTGATTCTGACGTAGGGCTGTACGATTAATCGAATGCGATTGTCATGCGCATTTTGTTAAAAAAGCCGGTTCTGTAATCAGCAGGAAATCATCATCACGTGCTTTCAGATGGAGCAGCATTTA